GTGATAGATGTGCTATTATCTTCTAATAAAAGAGGTAATGTGTCCATAGGATCTATATTTTGGAGCAAATGAAGGACTAAAAGATTTCTAGGCTTCTTTTTTCCTCCATTGCATCTAAAAGAGCTAAATAAGCAAATTATGTAGAGCTGCAAGTTCTACTGGAGCTCCAATCCCTTTAGTAGCTGTGTACATTGAATGTTTTGGTAGTTGCATGCAGGAGGGCTTCAAAATCCACCAAGTTCTCCCACTTAAAATTCTCTCTGGAGGGTTTTTCCGACTGCAATCACATTTAAACTTTAAGTCAGCTGCTAGGACAGGAAGCACAGGAGTAACTTGAGTAAGTTACTACTTATTTAAGAAAGGTGTTTATTATAAGCAGGTTAAAGCTTCTAAAGAGCTGTTCATATCTAAAGTATATTTCTATAGCTAACTATTAAGAGATGTACATGTGGATGAGAAGGCTGTAAAAGTTTGGGGGGTGTTTTAGTAACTGAATTTTTAAAATTCATTTTCTGTCTGGAAATATGGGAGCCCCACCCAGTGATGAAGGCAGGCTGCAGCTCTGGCTGCAATTCTTTGCAGGTCCGCCTACTGCATGAGGTCCTCCTTATCACCTGCCTACAGCATGAGGTCCTCCATCTTTCAGTCTGTGCAACAAAAGTAGGTCAAGGGGATGCTTCCACACAGATATACAGATCTCTGAGTAGAAGAGCAAGGCTCTGTTAACTATACTCTAATTATAAGAGAAATGGGAAAGCAAATCTCTCTTTCCCCTTTTTTTAAACACACTGCTATGTCAGTCACCCTCTTCATATTAAGCCCCTAAAGACTTTATGAAGCAACACAATGACCATAACATTCAGCCGCAAGCCGCAAACTAACAAAAGCGCATCTGGTTCTATCAGTACCTAACTGCCACAAGACCATTTTTCATCTTAATGTAACATGCTGTTCTCCGAGCTAATCCTCAGTGGCATGTCCTACACAATCCTCACAAAGCCTTAGTTAATATTTACTTCCTTTAATAAAGAGGTCAAAAAGGATGTATGTTCTCTGTGACTCCAAAAGAGATAATCAAATAGCCCGACCATTTGAAGGGAGGCATGAAATGTTACACAGAGATTGGGCTGTGAACAAAATCTAGTTCTTTATTTCTCCATTTTTAAAGGAGGCTGCAGTGATGGCATTGTGACCCTAAGAAATAATTTGGTGTTGCCTTGGATTTTAATGCAAGGCCCAATCTGGCCTCTAAAGGAGTTTTAGCTGACCCCTAGCTTACAACCTGAAGGCACCAGGGGTGTGTGGAAGATGACAAAGACTTGCTGGGAGTCCAGTTTAGGATCAGCAGGTGAGGCCTGGATCCTACCACCCAGCATCTTCTCTTCAAAGTGGCCTTCTTTTAAACACTAGCTGATGACTACGATGTACAATAGAATCACCAGTCATAAGACTTTATTAGAATCTAAAACACCATTGAAGTCTTCAGGTAGAATAAAAACAGCGTTATTACATGTTAAGACTTAGATCACATTTGAGCCTCTCCTATATGATTTATGTACATCTAATTGTTGGTACAGATAAGAGTTTGTAGGGCAAACAAATGTCCTAAGTAAAGATATCTTGTGCCATCAGGTTTCTGATTATCCAAATATTTTGGAAAAATGAAATAGAACTATATGACACTGAATTCTTGGCAGCTGTCAAGATTATTTTTATGAACTTCCTTTACTCATGACTTCAAATGCCTGTGGTTCCAGTGAAAATCACAGTGCAAGACCAGAGTAGTCTTAGTTGCTTGTAGTCCAGAACCCAGTAATAACGCACTTTCCCAAGCAAAGCCATTCTGATATCTCCAAGGCCATAAAACTTAATAGTCTATTCTTAAATAGCCCGAGACTTATTAGCAAATGTGCAAGTAATTTTATGGACAACTCATTCAGAGGACAGAGACAATGTGATAATGTTCACACATCACAGGGCAAAACAGTTTGTGGCTTCCTTGATAGGGCATGTTTTATGTTTTGGCATAATTATGGGAACTAGAATAACTGTTTATTAAACAAGCCTGATTATGCAGCCAGGGAACCAAAAGACTGACTAGAGTGAGGGCAGCAAACTGGAGAATTTTTCATAAAGCTTGTTCAATGTGTATACTTTGTTCTGAATGCAAAACTTTCTTAACTTATGCAAAGAAATAACATGTGAACAGGAATATGGATAGAGAATGCAAAGAAATAACATTTGATCAGGAATATAGAGAAAGGAAAGAAGGAAGGGGAGAAGAAACCTGGGAAGCTCAATGGTACAACAGAGTCCTGTTCTTAATTTCTAGAAGCACCATCCGCTTCCCTTTTTCTATCCTGAACTTTTATCAGATATGGACTGTACATGGTTTTCATACAGAATAAAAGTCCCATTCTTTCCACAAGGTACCAGATTTTGACCACAAGTTGGGATGCCCGCCTCCAGGTGGGACCTGGGGATCCCCTGGAATTACAGCTCATCTCCAGACTACAGAGATCAGTCCCCCTGGATAAAATAATTGCTTTGTAGGGTGGACTCTAAGGCATTGTACCCCACTGAGGTCCCTGTCCTCTCCAGGGTCCACCCCCAAATCTCCAGGAGTTTCCCAACCTGGATCTGGCAGCCCCAACCCCCACCCCCCTGCCAGAGGCCACGGGGGACATGGCAACCCTACCCTGAACTCAGATTTACAAGATAACTGCATGTGGACTGCTGATGTTCATATCACTGAAACATAATATATGAACAAGCTCAGTTAGCAAAGAGGTAGATCTTATCTTTAGGGCCAAAATACTGGTAGTTTCCCCAGGAGTTCCTTTTGCTCTGGAAGGTGGCATTGGGTGGCATTTAGACTATCCACACAATTTGCTGTTTAAGGCCTTACAGGAAACAAGCTTCATGTTGCAATGCTAAGTACATTTACTTGAAAGTAAGCCTCATGGATCTTAGTGGTACTTAACATGGTTGGGATTGGGCTGCCAGTTCTAACCGAGAATCTGATGTGGTCATGCTATCAGCTTGGCTTTCATTAAGCCAATATATTCATGGTAGCATCACAGCAAGGTTGATAAGTCAAGCTTTTATCTCAGGCACAGAATTCCCACCTATGTATTTTATCCTATTCATACCTCTCCCCACAGTGTCCAGGCTACATGCATCTGAACTTCCCCATGAAGCACTGACTGTGATCTAACTGCTTTTGCAAATAAACTTCTGCCTTGACATTAGTCCAACGGGAAAGAGAGTCAGTGGTTTTCCTCCACCCCTATGTGTGGGGGGTAAGTGTACAATAGATGCAGCTCTGATCCAGTCATATTTCAGGATGACTCCCTGACCAAGTTAGGCATCCTGTCTTGAAGAATGCCTGAATTCTGACAGCTAAACAAGGGTAGATGCCCCGTTGGTAAGAGGGAGGTCATGATAGGGCTAGAGATATTTTGGGGGCTGAGAGAAAATTCAAATATACCCTCTGATTCTTGATCTGTGATTGCTATTTTATTCATCCTAGCCATTAAAGAACACCTTGTTGTCCTTTAGTGGCACCAAAAAAAAATCTTCCAGAAGAAGCCACTTCATGATGCCTGGTGGCAGTGTTAACAACCCTAGTAGGACTGTCTGCTGGGGCAAGAGACCCTCTTGGGGGAAGTTTCCAGCAAGCTCAAGGTACAAGAAGTTCCCATGTATTAAAAAGGCACTTTCCTTAAATGAACTGGGGTTTCAGCCTAATTGGTCTTTGATTGACCTGGCCAGATTTTTTTTTTTTACTGGCCCTGCTCCTGTTTTAAGAAATTGTGGTTACCTCTGTTTGTCAGAGGTAATCTTAACACTCTAAGTCTGATGTTTAATCTTTGCTTGCTATTGGATACATGTAAACCATCAAACGATCAACATGCGATTGCAAACTTCTGGCAGACAAATAATAGATGAATGAAATAGTACTATAGTTCTTTTCAACCTGGCAGAGGATCAGGATTAGGCTGTGACAGAAAAAGTAAGTTTGAGCCCCATCCAAGGTAGATCACTGTTACTTATTTAACCATTACTAGAAGTTCATAATCATGCTTTGACAATATACATCCTATCAAAAGAAGATCTTTAAATGGGGAAAGAGTTAAACCAGAGACCTTGCAATGGGGATGGAAACTGAGCAGAATGTGTCATCTCTGTCAAATGAGGATAAAGGATTTTGTTACAGCCATAGAGAGCCTTTCCTCTCCCTAATAGCATGCCATATACTTTCTGTGCTGCTTTAAGCTATGTAAGTTTCCAATCCTAATTCTGAAGATACCATTTCATTAACAGGTCTGTAAGCAAGATAACAGATACTTTACTTCTCCTGCCTTTACACATACACACTGTCTTTTGCCCATGTGAATTTTCAGTTTTGGTGTAAAAAGTATAATGTTTTGCCTAGTCAAAAGCACATAAAGCTGAACTTTCAAGGCATCTGCAGTTTAGGAGGTGGGGGAGTTTCCAGGTCTCTGTTCTCCTAGCTTGGTCACTTTTCTGAATGCAGACTTGCTGCCTAGGCCAGACTGGGCCAAGGAATGAGGGGGCTGACTAGTATTGGTGTCAGCTGAGTCAATTTAAAAAATCTATTTCAAATATTGGAAACGGAGCATGTAAAATTCTAGACCATGTACATATTGGAAAATCTGTGAGGGGTTGTTTTGTCTCAGATTCACTCTGGTAGATTTGCCCATAGGGATTCTCGCAATACATGATCACACCATGTGCAAGTCTGTGCACACCTGGGTGTGCTTCTGGACAGTTATCCATACATATTAACTTCTCCTTTTGAGTAATACCTTTAAAAGGCTGTCCTTTCTTGGCTAAGAAGCAAAGCTACTCCATGAACCAATCCATCTCATGCATAACCATTCCATTAAGAGAAGGGCCAAGGAGCTGACTTGCTGTGGGCTGCCGCCTTCTATGAAGAAGCAGGAAGGAGATCAGTGGACAGTCGCAGAAGTCTTTTAAATGCTTGTCTGGAGGTCTCCATTGAGCAGTGTCCTTTGGGTTTCTGTGGCTTCATTTAACCTGGATTTATCCTGCTTGCTGTCACTCCTGTCTGCTTCATCCATGCCACTGACTTTCATCAAGCAGAGAACATTCTGGAAGCTCTTCTTGAAGTTGTCAGACAAGAAGGCATAGAGGATAGGGTTAGCACAGCTATTGGCATAGGTGAGGCCCACTACAAAATCAAACATGCCCTTGAGAACTGGAGTGGGTACAATTGAGACAGAAACTGAGTAGACATTAAAGATGTAGAAGGGCAGCCAGCAAAAGATGAAAACAGCAACCACAATGGAGACCATCCTGGTAACCTTCTTCTCTGACCTTTTCCTCTTAGAGGAGCCCACTCTGATACCAGAGGATTTGACCTTGATGATAATGAATAGGTAACAAAGGCAGATGATGGTAAGGGGCACTAAGAAGCCTAGAATAAAGGCATAGATTATGAAACCAGCATACCAAGCACCAGACTCATCTGGCCAGATTATGGTACAGCTACTGCTCCCGTGATTATGGGCCACTCCAGCATATATCATGATGGGCATGATGACCAGAAGGGAAATAACCCATACAGCTACATTGACCATCTTTGCAGTTGTTGGCCGCCTCCACTTGGAAGACTTTATGGGATGAACTACAGCAAGGTACCTGTCAATGCTCATTACTGTGAGGCAGAAGATGCTGGTGAACTGATTGATTCCATCCACTGTCATGACAATTCGACAGATGGCTTTCCCGAAGGGCCAGTGAACTAGAGCCACCTGCATCGCCAAAAAAGGCAACCCCAACATGAACAGTTCATCAGCTATCGCTAAGTTGAGTATGTAGATGTTGGTAATTGTTTTCATCTTGGCATAGCGGAGAATGACATAGATGACGAGGGTATTACCACACAGTCCCACAATGCAAACCACAAAGTAGAGGAAGGTGAGGATGGCATTGCTGGTTAAGTCATAGTGGTGGCCTGTGATGTTTATGGAGGCATTAGTAGTAAGAGTCTCCGGGGAGAAGCTGTCAAACTGAGAGGCCGAGGGAAACCAGAACACTGTGGTGTTGAGTAACTCATACTTCAGGTCCATGGCGCAACTGGTGTTACCGTTTCCCAGGCAAGCACTTCAGGCAAAGAAGATGGTCATGTCAATTGGCTCAGGGTGCTCCCAGATAAGTGGGAAGATCTGAAATCCAAACAGAATAAAGAGGGAATAAGGCTCAGCACATTTTCATTTAACAAAAAAGACAGGATAGTACGTAACATACATTTCACTGTGTAAGTCAATCTTTCTCTAACAGAGAGCAGTTCTCACCATAAACCTCCAATATGTCTTGATTTTTCCTTTAAACAGAATAGTCATCCTGAGTGGAATTTCTTACAGTATATTGACTGTGGGGGAGACCAAGAGTTTCAGGAGAACAGGAGATACCACAAAGCAAGGTATGGATTACTAATGCATCCTTATGTTAGTCTCTGGGTTAGTGATTAAGAAAAGAGTGACTAATGACCCAGTCCTGTGACTGCCTATACAGGCCAACAACCAGGTCTGAGTACTAGGTCTGAGTTGTCCTGAGTTGTATACAGGCCAACAACCAGGTCTGAGTTGTCCTGAAACTTAACTGGGGCAAAATTTGCCCTAGGTGTCCTCATTCCTCAGCCTTTACCAAAACTATCAATTCTTGGTAGGTGTGGAGAGGGGGCACTGTCGTTGTTCCCTTTGGTCCTCTTACATGGTTTCAGAGGCCTTTTGGGTCAGAAATGATGCTGAGGCAAATGGAAAACTGAGATGCCCCTATATAAGGGAGGCAGGGATTTCCTGCAAAGATCATGATTAGGCTGAATTTACCCAAGTTTTGAGCCCTGTGTCTTAAGCCAATTCATGTACTGGCAGTTAATAGCCTAGTATTGTTCCCCCTCCAACCCATGATCTTTTCTCTAGTACGTCCGCATGAGCAAATCAAGAGGAATATTTTCCCATTCATTTTTCCCACGTCATGCATGATGTTATGAGCAAACGCCACCTGTACTTTACATGTATGCGATACTTAAACCAGACAATAAAATGCTTCCTATTATGACTAGCTCCATTAGTGTTTTCTGCCCACATTGTAGTCACAGTGGACAAAATTAGTTCAGACCATTGTGTTGTATAAAGGAGGACTAGCGTCTTTATTCATTCCCCTTTATCAGTTTCTTTTCTGAACAGAAGGTTCCTAATAGTTTTAGCCCCTTTTGTAGTAAAACTATTCCAGATTACTGAGATTTAGCCCCTCTCAACACATTTTCTAACTGTATTATATAATGTTGAGTCCAGAATTACACCTAGCTTTACTGATCTACATAATTAAGGGACCAGTGATATTTTCTATATTAATTCGTATTTATTTCCCAGTAACATCATACAGGGCTTTTCTGCATGGATATTTCTCCCCCCCCCCCGTTGGTTCTGGCCCCATACCACTTTGGTTTATCCTCTTTATTTCTGCATGGAGTTTTGTGCCTTTAGTTTTCACTTCATTTGTGTGTTTTTTTGGGGGGGGGCATTTCTTTTGAGACTACTTTTACTCTGATCTTTTTTTGGAAGATGAGTTTAAGACGCCTTTTTCCTCATGCATAGTGTTTCTGTCGGTTTTTCTTTGATCCACCCGCTTTTTAATTACTAGACTGTCATCATCATCAAGCTGCTCCATTTCTCACTCCCCCCACCCTGAAGATGAGTGGTTTCTTCTAAAAAATGGCACTAAAATATTTGTATATTGATTGTAACTATAGGTGTAGCAGGTTCTCTGAATTCTCAGCTTTAATTTTTATGGATGCTTTTTCCTTATACCTCTGTGAGGGAAGCTGCTAGAGACTTACTTTTTTAAAGAAAAGAAAGAAACCTGGGAACAGAGAACTTGCTAAACTTTTCATTGTAACAGTATATCAATGTTTTAGTGCCTTTTTAAAAAATGTATCCATATATCAATATAAGCATGTGCAAAAAACAAATAAGTGTTGTGCATGCTGTGACGCCACCAATGATGACAGCACCCTCCCTTTAAAATCCAGATTATTTAAGGCACGTGCAGAAGAAAATAAACTGACTCCACAACTATAAAAATGCAGAGAGGGGGCAGACGTGCAAAAGAACTGTGCTCAAACCAATTCCAATGCTTGTGGGTTGAGTGCCAAGAACAGGGATCATTTCCTGCAGGAGCGCACAAGAGCGGAGCTCCGGCAGTAAAGAGCACAGGGGGCAGGCACATGCAACAAGCCCCACCCCCTGCTCCCAGCAGCCCTCAGTCAGAGCAAGAAGCAGCCAGGTAAGTTGCAGAGCCCCCCGGTCCCAAACAGTCCCGTGGCACATATAAGACAAGTTTTATTCAGGTATAAGCTCTCCCTCCTCTGTGAGGACAGATCTGCACGTTTCCCCCCCCCCAATAGCTAGCAATCCAAAACAGTCCAGTGGACCCTGAGCGGTGATGTCAGGGGTGTGGCATATGCAAATAAGTTATGCTAATGAGTTATGCTAATGAGCTCCTGCACTTCTTTTTCTATGAAATGGCCCCTGGGAATATCAGGAATAACTCGAGTCTGCAGAAAAACCTTACTTTATTTGTCTTCTGGGTGGCAGTAATACATTGAAATTATATTGTTTAGGGATCTCTTTGCTTTGATTTCTAGATGTCCTCTTTCTTGGGTGGTTTATAGATCTAATCCAGAATATAATTTTCTTCCATTACTTTGCTCTCATCAAAATAATTATTAGTCCCCCTTTAAGACAAGGAGCCACAGTCCAACATGATGTTAAGTGTGTTGAAATCAGTAGGTTATCTAGTCCTTTATGCAATAGTGTTTCTGTTTATCACATATCTAGGATATCATGGTCTTGCTATATATTTCAGGACACTTTAAATAGAAAGATGCATTCCAGACTTCAAAGGGTAGGAAAGTCCTTCTCCCGAAAGGAAATAAATTTTGTTGCATTTTCCTAAAAAATTACAATCTTTGCCAAAACAACACTTTCCCATTTAAAAACTGGATACACTATTCTGTCCAACCATATTGGTCCCAGGCTCCAACAGCTGCATTCACTCTGGAGTCTACAAGGTAGTCCTGTCGCTGGCAAGTATTAGATGTCTTAATTAGAACAGAAAACAACTGCTCTCTCTCTCTCTTGACACACAAACCCCTAATGGATAAGATCTTGCATCCATGGTTTTTTGTCTCCTCTGGTAAATCACATCAAACTAGACTTTGTAAGAAGAAAAAGACTGGTACAGGAGTAAACATAGGATGGTTCTTTAGTCTCCTGTAATGAGACAGTCTGTCCCATGTCACACACATGATTCTGTTTCTCAGGGTACAAGCAGAAGATGGTCTGGCATGCTGATAGAATAGTTAGGGAAGAAGTGAATATTGCAAATTCCAGATACAACAGACATACATCTTGTTTAGGGAGACAACAGGATGGAAGTGATGGACACTGGGAACACCAGGGAGACATGCTGCAGATTACAATTTAGCCATACACTTAGTGCATGACCTTTGGTAAGTCACATGGTCTCATTTCCCCTTTTAAAAATGGATGGAGAGCTATTGTGTTACTTCTGGGCAGATGACAGTAAAATACTTTGCACATGAAGGAAGAAGAAGAGTTGGTTCTCTATACCCTGCTTTTCTCTATTTACTAATAGAAGGAGCCATGAAATAAGGATGTTCCTGGTTCAGATTCCATGGAAGATGCTATTTCCAACCCTTTAGGCTTGCACTTGCAGATACTATCCTACCCTATTGGATTGTTGTACAGAGATAACATATCCTTCCTCTCCCCACAACAGTCACCCTGTGAGATAGGTGGGGCTGAGAGAGCTCTGAGAGAAACCACTTCTCCAAATTAGAGCCCGCTACTTAACCACTAAGCGGTGGCTCAAGTGGTTCAGACGCTGAACTGCAGGCTGTGGAAGGTCGGTAGTTCAGCAGTTCGAGACCCGAGTGTGCCGCATGACGGAGTGAGCTCACGTCTCTAGTTCCAGCTCCTGCCAATCTAGCAGTTCGAAAGCAAGAAATTGCAAGTAGATAAATAGGTACCACTTCAGTGGGAAGGTAACAGCGTTCCGTGCGCCTTGGTGTTTAGTCATGCTGGCTACTTGACCACTGAAATGTCTTCGGACAGCGCTGGCTCTTCGGCTTGGAAATGGAGATGAGCACCGCAACCCTAGAGTCGGATTCGACTGGCTTTCAAGCAAGGGAACCTTTACCTTTACTTAACCACTACACCACACTGGCTCTCAAAGTAGTACAGAGAGTACTATAGAGTTGATAAACCCATCAGGGGAGCGGCTGATGCTAATTATAGAGAATTATGTACTAGAAGAGAGTAAACAATATCTCTATTCATATTATGCTTTCAAGTGCTGATATCACTTCACATATGTTATCTCTGTACAACAATCCAATAGGGTAGGATAGTATCTGCAAGTGCAAGCCTAAAGGGTTGGAAATAGCATCTTCCATGGACACCCAGCAAGCTCATGACCAACGGTGAATCTGAACCAGGAACATCCTTATTTCATGGCTCCTTCTATTAGTAAATACACAAGCTGTCAGCTGCTAAATAGCTGGGCTGAAAAAGATGGAGTCAGTTTAGGAAGCAGAGGGGATTCCCAGTTTCGTTTTTGTGTTTTGTTTCAAAAACCTCATTCTACAGATTGTTCCAGAATATCCCACTACACTTAATGGGCGAGTTAGACACAACAGCAGACTCCCACCGAGTGTGAAGCAGAGGTTACAGAGGCATTTATTCTACAGGTCTTGAAGAGCAGATAGAAGAAAAGAGCCTCAGAACAAAGATCTTAGGCACTCCAGGGTTTTTTCATGAAGTCCTACCCAGCACATGTTTACTCAGCAGTAAGTCTTACTGCTTTTAATGGTTACTCAACTGTGGACATGTTTACAGAAATTAATACAAAAAGATTCCTGTTGCACCTTTAAGACTTTAAAAAAAATGTATACAACATTCAATTTGATAAGCTATTACAATTCATACTATATATACATATATAGTGCAACTGGTATTTTGTGATCTGAATGGGATATACTGGC